TTAACTAGACTATTAGAGGATCCAAATCGCCAGAGATGCAAATCAATATCAGTCTATGTTATAGATAAATTATTGTGGTTCGATTATGAGATCTTACACTAGTAAACGTTTTAATCATATAAATATTTAATTGTAGTAGGTACTTACTTGTAGATATTTGATCATTTATTAAAATAATTTGTGAATATGCTACGACGCATGCATACTCGGTAAAGTTAAAGCATAAATTGGTAGGTCGGGTATATGAAGGAGTAAAGTTATGATAACAATAATTTAAAGAAGATAATTTAGTTATTCTGAAAGTGTACTAAAGAAACTAGGTAAATATAATCTACTCTAATAGGTGGTAGTTTGCCAAATATTTTAGTTCATTCACCGATATAAATAGAATTGTTATGTTAAGCCAGATAGCGAAAACTTCTACAAAATATTCCAAAGAGCCACAGCAAAACGTTTCGGCAACATTACAAAACAAATGAAGCATGCTGTCCAACAACAAATAAAACACGTAATTATTTACACACCTAAATCGTGGTAATCCATTATTATTTATATTTCTAGTGGAAGTTCTTGACGTTCCTTGACAAAAAAAAAACAGCGCATTTTAGTAACAAAGTAATGTGAGATGATGATATTTATTTGCGAATAAATTCAATACACAACCTGCCATACCTTAACAAATAACATTACAAATTCCAAACAATTTTCTTATAACATTCAAGGTCATCACTCGCCACAACAATACAACATAGGCGGTTGTTATAAACAAATCGGCGGTCGGTGGTGTTATTTCTAGCACTCGTTAACTTTTTGCGTAAAAAAACTTTCACCAAAAATATATTCCTCGTAACTTGATAACACGGTGTTCCAGCTGCGGCACGGGTAGCAAAAATGAAATAAAACGTGTTGCCGTTCCTCGGGATTATTTTAAGAAACGATGACCAAACAGCGATTCTGAGAAACCGCGAACTGCCGCGATCTGTCGATTGGATGCGAGTATCTTGTGCGGAACTGAACTACTGAACTGACTGAAACCGCGCGCTTGCCGCTGACGTTCACGACGCTGTTCCAACTTCCACAAACCGTGCACTACAAAACAAAATTTCAATGCGACTGCCTAGTAATTCCGATTCGGATTGTGTCGCTTAATTGCTGATATAAAAATTATAGCGCGTTGCCAGATCTACGATTATATTATCTTTTCTTCTGATAATTATTGGTAAGCGCCCATGTAGAACCTAAAAATTATTTCCCAGGATTTATTTGGAACTTTTCCTAAATCCGCACAATACATAATTATATTCGTCGGCATACATTAAAACTTTAATATGCTCGATATTAGCTACTATATCATTTATAAAAAATATACATAAAAGAGGACTTAAAATTGATCCCTGCGGAACTCCTGTTTGTTCGAAATTTTTTGATCTATAACCACGACATTGAACATATTGATGCCTACCCAACAAATACGAACCAATCAATTGAATGATTTGATCGCATAAATCAATGGAACTTAACTTGTGGAGCAAGATGGAATGATCAATTTTGTCGAAGGCCTTGCAGAAATCTGTATATATTACATCAACTTGACTTCTTCCATCCAAGGCCTCGGAAATGAATTGCGACGAACATACAAGGTTTGTAACTGTAGATCTATTTTTCATGAATCCATGTTGGTCACAAGATATAAGACGGGAAACATGATTGGGAATACGATCGTGAGTAATTATTTCGAATACTTTAACAAAATTGCAAAGAATGCTTATGGGCCGATAATTACAAACATCATTTTTGCTACCTTTTTTATGTACCGGAGTAATTCTGAAAATTTTCCAGGCAGTAGGGAAAATACATGTTTTCAAAATTAAATCAATGATAAGAGAACGCAATTTTGTGAAAAAATGATGGCAGAGTTAGATGATAATATGGTGATCCAATTAGAACATGTTTTGTTTTCTGATGAGTGTACACTTCACTTCACGGTCATGCTAATCGTCAAAATTACCGCTATTGGTCTAGACCCAGCTAGCACATAACGTTGCCAAGCCTTTCGGTGATGTTTTGGAAACGTAATAACATTACTATACAACGTAAATGCAACGTTCAAGAGAGGTTGTTGAGGGAAATCATAACCTCGCAAAACTTCTATTTGTTACTCAGGGTTGCCACCTTTTTGAAAAGTGTAAAAAAGACTACCATGCTGACAGGGACCCTGGTGTACAAATACAAAAAGTGCTCATCCTTCTAGCAAACTTCTAAAAAAAAAATCGAGCTGAACGAAAGAAATCCTCCTCGTCTTACTGATCTTCTAAAAAAAAATTTCTCAACTTATATATTTTTGTATAAACCATGTCCCTTCCAAAATTATGTGCTGTCAGTCAAAAAAAATATTTGTCGTAGACAAAGACATTTGTAGTAAAAGAAGACATTTGCCGTAAAAAGACATTTTATGCTTTAAAAAGTCACAAGGACATTTTGCTTCAAAAAAGGATTGTCCTGTTCAAAAAATGACAGGTAGCAACCCTAGTGTTAATTACCTATTTAACCTACCTAGAGAACAATTTAATAATAAATGTATAAAATTTTTGTTTAATTTGAAAATTCCATGTCTCGATTGAGATTTTACTATAAACCCAATTTCAGCTCTGTATTATATTACATAAAGCCCAATATAGTGTGTCCACGGATGGACTTAACTATACTTGTAAAAATATTCATTTTAAATTAAAGTTATTTTTTCATAATTTTTAAAGGTGAATCGTATTTATTTAACAAGCAAAAGAAATTGAGAAGAATTACTTTAATTTAAAATAAATATTTTTAGAAGTATAGTTAATTCTATCCGTGGTCACACTGTATAGTGCTGTAGAACTAATTCACATTATAACATCTATAAAACTTTTTAGTGCAACTTTCGGGGTAAGTACCGTAAAAGTGCTAGAGTGATGTTTCTCGAACTTTATTTTGTAACCTCTATGCGATGGGCTATAAAAGTCTTGCCGTTGCGGACATTCGGCAGTTGCAGGGACATTAGGGTTACATTAAAAGTATATTGCATGCGAGCTTAAAGAATCTAAAATTGCAGCCTATTAACGTAGATGGGATGTTTTTGTGCTAGCTGAAAGGAAAATCCTCACTGGATGAAAGAAGAACATACGAAATACCTTGAAAAGGTTAATATTTGAACAGGAATTGTTGGCGATCATATCATGGATCCAATTTTCATTGATGTCAATTTGAATGGCGATACTTATTTAGCACTGCTCCAAAATAATGTCTTGCCAACTTTAACGAACTTATATCCCGACCTAGAAAACCCACAAGTTTTAGCGAATATGATATGGTTTCAACAAGATGGAGCATCGCCCCATTACCAAATCAATGTCCAGCAGTACCTCAATCGAGTATTTCTATATCGGTGGATAGGCAGGATCGATGGAATGGACATCACGATCCCCTGATCTGACATCATTAGACTTTTTCTTATGGGGATATGTCAGAAGTATTGTATACAAAACCTCTCGACCTAGCTGACTTAAGAAGACGAATAATGCTTGCAATTAGATCGGTTACGCCCGAGATGCTGAGTAACATTAGAAGACATTTTTATTTCAGATTAGGATATGTTGCCAAGAGGTTGGCGGTGAACATTTTAAACATCTCCTATATTGAAATGTAATTATTTTATTTTATTATTGTTAATTTTTGCAATAAATCGGACAACATTTATGATTTCCGAAACAGTTAGGTATAGGACATAGTTTATAAAATATTTTCAGAATTTTCTGAAGAATCCAAAAATTGAAAAATATACAGGATGTTGCGTTTAAAATAAGAAAGTTGGTATTGGCCACTGTTACATGACACACCCTGTATAAAAAGTTTTTATTAAAAAAAATACGCAACTAACAATACCAATCGACGTGTCCAAGAGTTTTTCTGAACATGCCTACATTTATTTATTACCGAATTTATTCCATTTGGCCCTTCCACAGTGTATAAAAAACAAATCTAGAATAAGACACGTCTTGATTGAACCTCCGTAGCAATATTTCCTGGTTTTACATTTCTTTCATGAAATTATTTTGTTGACGTAGGAAAAATATAGTACTTTACTCGTGTAAAAGTGATTTTTCACATTCGTATATTTAATATATTATTTTTAAAGTAAATGTATTGGTAGATTTTAAGTTTTAAGATTAAATGAATATTCTTATATCGAACATTGACTCAAATAAGTAGGTAATACCTTCTTTAACAAGTTATAAGAGTAATTTAAAAAAAACCGACTCCAAAATCGTGCAGGTGGCATTAGAAAACGAGTTTTCTGATTTTTTCATCGACCTATTTATTAGATCTTGACCAAATTTATATGAAACCAACCCTGAAGTACCCCATTTTTAACAAAAAAAAAGAATCGTAGAAATCGGACAAGGTGGTAAAGAATTATCGCTGAACAAACAAGAAAAAAATATTCCGACGAATTGAGAACCTTCTCCTTTTTTGAAGTCGGTTAAAAAAGAAAATAAAACCACATTAACGGAAACTTTTTATCACATTTTTAGGAAAATCGAAAAAATGTTTTGATTTGAGAGCTGTTCTCTTAGAACACTTGTGGCACATAGCAAAGAAGTGTGTGTCTAGTGAACTATGCAAAAAGCGCTCGCGACAATATCGGCCAGTTATCCGCCGAAACCGAAACTTATATTTTAGGCCGAAACCGTAACCGAATCTTCGATCGGATACTAATATTACTAATACATTTTTTACGTAATATATTAAAATAATCCAATATATTTTAATAATAATAAACATGGTACTGGCCAAGTAGACACATTCAAACAGGTTAGCCATTGCTTAAATATTATTAAAAAATTACTAGTCAGCTTTTTAAAGAATTCGCAGAAAACCACGGAAAACAAGAGCCGCTCCCGGCCGATTTTTTGGAAGGGGTCATTGTTATTATCCTCAAGCCATTAGAGACATAGAAAACTCACTTGATATACTCATTAGCTGGAAAATAAACGATATTTCACCGCTTCCTACAAAGGCGTCCGGCATTCTTCTAAAAGTTGGGAGCAGGAAAACTGATTTAATTCCAATCAACTGAAACACAGCACTAAACAAAATTGTCCCGTTCTTTGATATTCGACATCCGTTTCACTGACGATGTTAACAATATCATCAGTACCCGATTGTATACTATACTAAATTTTCTTTAATTTAACTTTTTCATTTATACTTTATCGGCATATTTAAATTTAATTGAACAACAACATAGATAATTTAGACACGCCTACTCGCTCCTGGCGGAGAAGCTGTAAGTCGATATTTTCATTCGATGCGTCTTTAATCCATCAAATCAAATAATGATCAACGGGATTAATATACCCCGTATGCCCTCTGGCGGAATACCATTTTATTAAGTTTTGTTAGTTATTGGTCCTCCATTTATGTTTATTAATTTTGGAATACCTATGCTTTTGAACGATACAATTTGACAACGCCGCAATTTGATTGTCACTTGCGGTTGGAATCAACCTGCGCTTTATAGAAGTTCAACTTTCATCTTCAAATTCAGGGGTTTTACGCTCTTCGGGTGACGTCACCGTAGATATAGCGGAAAGAAAATAAAATAATCAAAACAAATGGAACTGGAACTAGTGGACTACGAATACAATAATGTACCTATTAAACAAACAATAATAATTGTTAGACAACTAGTTTAATATCCTTGGGTTTTTTACAAAATATCGCAATGGTGAATATTAAATTGTTTTTTTTTTAATAATCCCACATTCTTAATTTAGAAGCAATACTTGGTACCTTTCGATTATCTTTCGATCTTATAACTAGAATTAAAAATAAATTTTATATTTGTTTAAAAAATATAAATTATTAGTTTTGTATATGAATTTAAAAATAGTGCATATCTGAATTAAATTAAATATTTAACGCTTAGTTTGTTTTATCTTAATTTATATTGAGGAAATTCTACAGGAGCAACCGCAGAGATAACTCCTAGATTAAGAAATTTCATAGCCAACTATTTAACCTATTAAGTATTTTTGTTAATAAAAGTAAAAGTACTACAATTTTTTTTTCTAACTTTAATTTCAGCAAACTGTCTTGTGATTTTTGTAATTTTGGTTTTCTCACATATCTCGTGTTCTATTGCAATAATAGCAAGACCACAAAGTCGATTATGTGTGATTGTGGTACGTAGGTAAGTCTTGGTCCATTTTAATTTTGAGAAACTCCTTTCTCCGATAGCGACAGTTACTGGAAGCGTTAAAAAGATCTGGATAGCTATTCTTAAATTGGGAGCAAAATTCAATTTTGTTATAAATTGAAATACTTCTTTGGAAGTTTTTTTTTTAAAGAAGATAGGGGTGGGTGGCTCAGTGGTAGAGCCTCTGCCTGTTGGTCCAAGGGTCCCGGGTTCGAATCCCACCGTTGGCCGGGATTTTTTATTTAATTTAATTATTTAAAATTAATTCTGATGCCTTGGTAGGATTCCCCACTCGACCATTCAGTGTTGGGTTCTAATTAACAGTGCTGTTCCTAAAGTGGCGCTGGGAAATAGTAACAAAGCCTACACAGAACACGAGGCTAATGACCTTAGTAGTCGATGCCGATGACACCAAATTAAAACAAAAAAGAGAAGATACAATGACCAGTTCGTCAGCTAGCGTCAGTTAAGGAGGTCCTTTCGCCACACCTCTCGCCTCAAATGTTAAAAAAAAAGTTATTAGATTATGACTAAAATTTATTTTTTTCTAATAGTTGAAGTCCTTATTTATCTAATACTGAACTTTTAACTATACCTTACCTTGCAAATTTTTGAGATTTTTTTTTTTAAAAATGTGAGTATTTGTACAGTGCCTAACGAGAAAGTAAGTCCTCAACAACAATTCTCGAATTATACTATTATTTATTGATTAGATGGAGTAGAAAAAAACTAAAAATAAGGTTTTTGAAATATTTAGATTTTGTTTTATACAATAAAATATATATAGTAAACCGTGGAACTCATTAAGAAATTAATATTAAAAAATCACAAAAAAATTTCAAGTAACCTAGTTGAAAATTTTTTGTGATTTTTTAATAATAATTTCTCAATAAATTCCACGGTAACCTATATATTTTATTGTAAAAAACAAAACCTAAATATTTCAAAAACCTTATTTTTAGTTTTTTTCTACTCCATCTAATCAATAAATAATAGTAAAATTAATTATAATTCGAAAATTGTTGTTGAAGTCTTACTTTCTCATAAGAAACTGTACAAACACACACATTTAAAAAAAAAATTTCTCAAAAATTTGCACGGTAAGGTATAGTTAAAAGTTCACTATTAGATAAATAAGGACATCTACTATTAGAAAAAAATTAATTTTAGTCATAATCTAATATTTTTTATTTAACATTGGTGGCGAAAGGACCTCCTTCAAGTTTTTTGCAGTATGCTATTATCTGGCTTTTGGATGCTTGCTTTAACTTGTGAATGTCATAAAAAATTAAAATTTTTCGAGTGATTTTCCAAAGCGTAAAATCTTTGCTCCAAAGCATTTAAGGCTGTATCTAGAACAAGATAAAATTTTATTTTATACTTTTCTTTTTGATGTATGATAGGTTCATCTTCGTTTTCATAATCAAATTTCTTTTTCGACAACGGATTCTATCCCTAGCTGTTGCTTCAAAAGATATTTCTACATCAATTTCTGCCGCCAGTTCCCCCTAAGGATGCGCACGATGTATCGATGTTAAAAAAACATCGATTTTAAAACATCGATTTTTCTCTTTCGATTATCGATGTTTTTATCGATGTTTTTTATGCGATGTTTTTATTTAACATCGATGTTTTTTTATCTAATATCGATGTTTTTTAATTTTACATTTAAATTTAAACAGGATATAGTTAAAAACAATAAGGGCCGATTCCACCGTTGTGTTAAACGGAGATTAAAATGACATTGTTAATGTTAAAATGTCATTTTAAACTTCGTTTAACACAACGGTGGAATCGGTCATAAGTCAACTATAAAGGAATACCGCAAATGCAAAAAAAGTTCGGCCTCTCTTTGAAGGACTCGAAAAATATTGGTGTAGGAAACTACAGGTTGCTTGTCGGAAGTCACGACTATTTGATTTACCGCCCATAGACGGAGATATTTTTTTTTAAATGTTAATAGTTTTATTAATATGTAGGTACTTATTTTTTTATTTTCGATTTACAAATTTAAAATTTGGACAGGTAACCTAATTATTCGTAAAGTGTATTCCAGATTTATGATACAAGAATGACTCAGAAATATTCGATAATAATTTTCACTTTTCTTTACATGGCGAATACAATCAGGCATTCCAAAAAATGGTTGCAAGTGAGTAAACACGCCTCGTGATTTGACGTCTTGAAGTAAAAATGTAGGTACTTATTATTTTGCTATATTCAAAGGCTGAAAATTGGTTTTAAAACGCATTTTTCCTAAACCATGGCCGTCTTTATTAAAAAAGGCCATGCCTAAACCGATTCTGATTAATAATAATAATAATTATTTACGGGGTGGGTGGCTCAGTGGTAGAGTCTCTGCCTGTGGATCCAAGGGTCCCAGGTTCGAATCCCACCGTTGGCCGGAATTTTTTCATTTAATTTAATTATTTAAAATTAATTCTGATGCCTTGGTAGGATTCCCCACTCGACCATTCACTGTTGGGTTCTAATTAACAGTGCTGTTCCTAAAGTGGCGCTGGGAAACAGTAACAAAGCCTACACAGAACACAAGGCGAAATAACCTTAGCAGTTAAAGCCGATGACACAAAAAAAAATTATTATTTTTTTTTGTGATTTGGTGTCATCGGCATCGACTGCTACGGTTATTAGCCTCGTGTTCTGTGTTTGTTACTGTTTCCCAGCGCCACTTTAGCAACAGCAGTGTTAATTAGTACCCAACAGTGAATGGTCGAGTGGGGAATCCTACCAAGGCATCAGAATTAATTTTAAATAATTAAATTAAATGAAAAAATTCCGGCCAACGCGCAACGGTGGGATTCGAACCTGGGACCCTTAGATCTGCAGGCAGAGACTCTACCACTGGTGTTATTATTATTATTATTATTATTATTATTATTATTATTATTATTATTATTATTATTATTATTATTATTATTATTATTATTATTATTATTATTATTATTATTATTATTATTATTATTATTATTATTATTATTATTATTATTATTATTATTATTATTATTATTATTATTATTATTATTATTATTATTATTATTATTATTATTATTATTATTATTATTATTATTATTATTATTATTATTATTATTATTATTATTATTATTATTATTATTATTATTATTATTATTATTATTATTATTATTATTATTATTATTATTATTATTATTATTATTATTATTATTATTATTATTATTATTATTATTATTATTATTATTATTATTATTATTATTATTATTATTATACTAAATAAAATGTTTTTAAAATAAATAAACTACAATAGTACGTGTTTTTATTTAATTTCATATTTTTCAAAAATAAGAAAATTGCATCTATTGTGAATTGAACCGCGTCGCGAAATGCAAAATTGACTACATGTTTAATGCTTAACTGAGCTAAAGAGTCATGTCAAGTGTGTGTATTTTATATGTTTTTAGTCGATATTTTTTACAACTTTCAGTTGTCTGACGTCTTGTTTGCAGGAATTTTAAACTAAATCCTTGCATATGACACTTCCTGATGATCCCGCCTACCACTTTACAAACTTCCAGCCGGAGGTACGATCATACCATAGACTTCATATTTTATTATCTAAGAAGGATCGTACTACTTTGCAGCCGCTAACTTTGAGTCTATTAATAATAATAAATACAAATAAGATTCTTTATGAGATTCTTTCCTGTCTTGTTTATTTGTTCGTTTATAAAAAACATCGATATTTACAAAAATCGATGTTTTCTTTCCGATTTTTTTACAACATCGATAGTCTGTATTCGATGTATCATTTGATGTCAACATCGATGTTTTAAAAATTTTGCGCATCCCCAGACTTCCCCCGCATCCACGAGCAGTTGACCAAATTGATTTTATCTTAAATTGTGAAAAAAATTCTGCAAATACTTCCAAGCCTCAGTGGCAGAAGGAATATCATAATCATA